AAACAATAAGTTTTAAAAATTAATTAAAAGCATAAATTTAAAATAGATTTATAAAAAGATCCAAGGTTCGGTTCTTCTGCAAATATTTAAAAAATAAATAAATAATAATTTCAGCAAATTTTATTGCATTTTGTTTACTCAACCTTCCAATGTATTCTGTAGTTCCAAAACTTGAGAAATAAGTCTTGACTTTTCTTCCATTTCATCAGGACTTAAGTCTGGATCCAACACTATAAAAAATATGCATATAAATAAGAATACACACACACACACACACATATATATATATATATATATTATTCATAAACGTCAACGAAGTAAACAGAATTAACATTTTACATTGTTTTCAAAATATTAATTCAGGAACATCATTCCGACATGCGAGCAACGTTGATTTTTCTGTCTTCGAGAATTAATGGTTAGTAATTAATAAAAAATAAGTGAAATTAGTTTTTGACTAACGTTTTGATATATGATGTTTTCTTTTCATGAGTTAAAAAACAATCATCAGCATATTTAATTGCAACAAAACGCAAATCTAATCCTATGAAAAAAAATCACCTTTCACAAGTCAAACCCGAATGATAAAATTAAAACTTTTAAACAATATTTAAGATCACGGGCAAGAAATGTCTCTTGCATAGCTTAAACGTTACTGCAGTTATAAGACGCAAACGCACACAATGTTTTTCTTTTAATGTTATAGATAATAAAGTATTAAGTAAAATATAAAGTATAGTATAGATAATAGAGTAATTGTATGATTTTATATGAATTTGATAATACTGTAATGACTTTTAGAATAATGAGAAGCAAATATTGCGAAAAATATCCGCAACGATGCGAAATGCCTGACGACACGTTTTGTCTACAGAATAGAGATTACTGTGGAGACAATCAAACGACATTGGTAAAAAGTTTTATAATTATGTTTTAATCGTCTGTTTTTTATTAAAATACAATTTCTAAGTCTATTTTTCTTTAAAGGTACCCAAACCCGAGTATCGTAACGCAAGTTATGATCCAGGTGATGTTCTTGAATTAAGCCATGATATAAATGATTTGATTTATGAATATAAATAGTAAGTTTACTCATTAAATAATGCAAATTTATAAGAAAATAATTTTAATTATAATTTATTAGAAAATAATTTTGGGACTTTTAACAGTTTTTAACACATTATAACGGTATTTTTTGTAAAACCTTTATTTTTAGCAACTTTTAGTCGTAATTTCATTTATTTTCATTTATATTATTATATTAATTTTAATCATTATTATCGTGATAAAAATATTAGAGCAGTGTCTGAATTCCTCACTATCTACAGAATTTTAGATTTAAAAAATGTCTAGTTTCAACAAAAGTTGCATTAAAAATCTTTCATTTATGAATGAAGAAAATTATCTGTGATAGGTCATCAACGCACATTTTGAGTACATTGTAACCATTTTCAATGCTATTCTTAAATTAAAAACAAATATATAAGCCAATCAAAATGGAAAATGACGTTAAAAAATATTGAAAATTTCAAAAAATTTATATCAGTTATTCTGTTAATTTGTAAAGGTCAGGGAAAAAAACTATTTGGTTATATCTATATAGAGGATCTTTTTAAAGAAAAGTAATCGTAATAAACTATGATAGGCGATATAATTCGCACGTTTGGCTGGTAATAATCTGCCGTACCTAGAAAAATACTATGCTAAAAAGTTAGATAAAGCTAATAAATTTGACAAGCAATAACAAGATATTAACCCCTTCCCTCTCTCTCCCGTCAAAGCACGGAGTGAGATTTCGTCTCCTATTTCTCATGCCCGTGATATTTCCGAGGTAGGACATTCAAAAGTAGTTTAAATATGTCCATATATATATCCAAAAAGGTTTAAATATATCCATCTCTTTTGCCTGGAATTTTTTTCATAAATTTCTTATTTTACACACTAGATGTCTGCACCGGAGTATTTTTAATATAACTGTAGAAGAGTTTATTTTAAATTGTTTATTTTAATGTTCATATAAAATTTGCAACTGATGCTTTGAAATTCATTATAAAAGAAAAATGTTCCGATATTTATTAATAAGTTTAATGAAATTCCGCTTTAATGTTCAAAACACGCATTTTTTAATTTTTCCTTATCAAGAAAATAAACATTCAATTGTTTTTAAATTTCACGCTAAAAAGTTTTGCAAAAATCGAAAATGAATACATATATCATGCATACACCTTTTTTTTAAAAAAATTTTCTTAAATAAAAAATAGGCCCATTTATTACCGTATTCCTGCAATTAATAAGATCGTTAAGTGGTTAATAAACAACACGATTTGATAAAACTTCATGACTAGCTATTTATGATATCATATTTAAATATGCATAACTATAAACGACAAAAATTTCATTCTTATGCATTTATATATTGTAAAATTCTCACTGCACATTTATTGTAATTTTACATTATTCGAATTTTTTAAATTTTCATGTCAACCCTTGTGATTAGCTCTAATAATCGGAAATTACCCTTTATTTACACTTACTTATTCAAACCTTTTCCTGCTTTTCTGTTCAACGTTTTCCAATCAACGTAGAAGAGTGAATTATATTGCTTGTTTGTGCGTCAAAAATCATGCAAAATTGAACAAATGATGCATTACATGTTGAAAAATAAACTTAACCTAAAAATTTTCACAAATTCATTAAATCTTTTTTTCACACAGCGATTTTGAGAAAGCAAATGAAACATATTTCCTTGAACATTCTCAGACAGTTGTGAGAAGAAGAATATTTGGTATGAATGAGTACTCCAAATGCTTCGTTCTTTATTCAAGAGTTGAAAGTTCTCTTGATCCTCCCATTCTAAAAAGGAACAAAAATTTCTGTGAGTAGAAATTGCAACTGCATCATTTTTTTCTTCTTATTCATGTTATGTGATGCTTGCAGTTACCAAGATGGTAATAAAAACAACTGCTCTTTCTGTCCTGTCTTTCTGTTTTTCATCAAAATAAGTTTTAATTTAATAATAAGTATTAAAATGATAGTCAATAACTATCATATTTCATAATTAATCATTTGTATAATAAATAATTAGTTTTTGTTATAATTAATGTTCATTAAGATTTTCCTAAACACTTTGATTAATTGTCTAAACTTCTACGGCTTTTTTTTTGGAACTACTAACGAAGTAATTATTAAAAAAGTAAGGAAAATTTATATTTTTATTAAAAAAATTTATACATTTTCTTTGGAATTTAAGTACAAATTTTGACATTTTTTGCATTGTTAGAAGAAAGGAGTTTACTAACACTCAAATTTGTTGTAATCTTGGTAGCAAAATTTACAGAGCCAATATCCAACGCAATCTTCGTAACTTAAGATTGAAACAGACAGTTGAAAACATACAATTCACTTTAGTAAGTTAAGAGACTTCATATGCTAAATAAAATAAAAATACATGAAGGATTATATTAAATATTTTAAAATTTAATGGCTTTTCTACCAAAATAGCAGTACTTAGACTCAAACGTTATAAATTATAAAAATACTTTTCTTAAATTTAAATGAAATAGAGTGAGGCTCAAATTTAACAAATTTACCTTTAAAGAATTTTGCAGTTTAATGAATTTATCTTTTTACCTGGTAAAAATGTAGGCAAAACATCATTTTTAACGAATTAAACCGAGTTAAAGTGCTATTTTAAAAGCCGAAAAAAGGCTTTTTTGCAGTTTTTTAGGGCTCTTTTGACGATTTTTTTATATAACCTTTCTTTATGTATCATTTTTATGTTTTTATAATTGATAACGAAGATACAAAAGGGAAAAACCTTATTGTTCTTGCAAAAATATCCGACCCATATTCAAATTAGTAATTTTGAAACATAAGTCAAAGTTATGTGCTTCTCTTAAAATTGCCCAAGGGTGATTCAATCATTCGATTTAGGTAGCAATTTCTCGGTGAAATAAGAATAAAAAAAGTTGCTTGAGAGAAATATAGTGAAAATCTCTTAGAAAAAGTGGGGTTTTCCCGCATACAAGTGGAAAGAATAGCGCGATTAAAATTTGCTGCAGTTTTAGCTGTTGAATAAAACATGAACAATTTCTAGTTATTCATATTTTTGTATAGTTGTATAAAAACGACTGTTCCGTAACATAAGTGGAGATATTTTATATTTTTATTTGTTCTTCAATATTACCAATTGCCCCAATTTAACAAGCAGAATTGTCTGCCCCGATAAATTTATTAAGTCGGGATCTGAGTATATTATTAAAAGAAATATTATTTCAAATATATCAACACCAAAATTGGTATGCTGCAATAATTATCTTAGTACTGTAGACAATCCGAAATCTAATTACTTTCAAAAAGTTTCGCAAATGACAATAAACAAAAATTATAATATTTGAGTTTATTTATTAGATGAATAACAACTAAGTTCTAAATTTTTTTAATACATTTTCTAAAGATCCTTTAAGACCTATTCATCTTAATGAATTATATTTTTAACCGGCCAATAAATATCGTCATTAGATATTTCTTGCTCCCTTTTTTTAACTAGTTTCATTTATTCAAAAAATGGCTGAAAAATAAGTTTTTAAAAATAAATTTAACATATTTTTGCTTACAGTGAATAGCTAGGTTAAAATTTGTAATTCTTTTAAAAGCAAACTAAAAGAAAAGGATGTTAAAAATTGTTTCTCTCAAATTTACTGAAAAAATATGTGTGTTATAAAAACTTTCCAAATTTCCATCTTAATAAATAATATACTGTAATAAAATTACTGTATATAAATAATATACTGTAATAAAATTCAGCTTTTTATAAATTATTTTTATTATCTTTTGTAAAAGAGCTATTGAATTATGCACGAAAAAGTAATCAAAAGTGCCAATATCGTTTTTAATAATATTCACATTTACATAAAGATTTAAACCAGAGGGAAATATTATTTTTTCATAAAAACATTAAACCTAAAAAAAAAGTTTTAAAAGTAAAAATATGGATAAACTCAAAAATCACATATATTGTTAAGACGCAATTAAATTAACGCTTTGCTTCCGACTGGTACAATAAGTGAACCGGAATGGCTTCATAATACTAAGCACTGTACGCAAAAGGTTAAGTATTATTTTATCATTTTTTGAAATTTGTAACTCATCTATTTTTTCATATTATGTACATAATTATTAAGTAATATGTACAAAATATTAATGTACGAAATATTATTGTGGCGAAGTTATACAGTTTAGTATACAAACCATACATATTCAAATTTTAAACTTTTTTTAAATATAAAATACGTTTAAAACATATATATATATATATAGTTATATAGTTTTATATATTTTTCTGAATTTTTATTGCAGTTAAGTATCCCTATTATAGTTTCATATTTGATCCCATGATATATGATGCATTTGATCCAATCATGAAAGATGGGATATATTTTTCAATTCACTCTCCATTTGATGTTGCCAATCCTTTTGAAAAAGGTTATTTTATGAAGCCAGGAAGAATGCACAAAATAACTGTTTCGATGGTAAGAACTTATTATGAAGTATTTAGTTGTAATGTACTAGCTGATTACCTGTTCTTCTAACAGGGTGGCAAAAAAGAATATAACAAAATCAAAATTAGAACAAAACTGAAAGCTAAATTTGGAGACAATTAATAAAGCTAAAATAATTCCAATGTCTTGTTTCTGTGAGAATCCGTTATAAATATATTTCCACAATATCTATAATAAAAATGCATAGTGATGGAGCAATTTTAATCGGTACCAAATGTACTCATATAATACTTTGAACCTATAATAGTAAATTTGATACCAAATATTTCTGCATCAATAACCATAATACGTACCAATAGTGTATACCATATGCAAATCACCAAAAGTAACTACGCATTATTGGCGATGGCAGTTGTACGACAATTTTTATATTTGTCCTAAGCGAATTAGTACCATTTCTCCATCAATTTGGCTTTTTAATACTTAGTCCCTTTTTTAAATTTTAATTGGTACTTATTACCAAAATTATTTGAGAATCATTATCATCAAAAAGTGATAATTTTTTTTAACTTTTCTCCTAAATGAATTAGTATCATTGCTTCATTAATTTTGCTTTCCTGTACAAAGGCTATTATCATTTATTTAAATTTCCATTAGTTCCTAATACAAAAATGTAAGAGACATTATTTGTGTCGAAAATGGTGAAGCGAATGTTTTGCATTTATTTCTAAGCAAATAAGTAAAATTTCTTCATTCTTTAATTCGTAGATAATTTTTTGTATCAATTAGTACTTATTACCAAATTCGGTATCAATAGTAGTTTAATGATTTTAAACGATTATCTTAATTGAATTAACACATTGTTTTCCATTAATTTGGATCTTAGTACTGCGACTTATTTTTTTCTATCATTTAGAATAAAATTAATAAAATTTATTAAGTATTATTGGCGTCAAAAATTGTATCGTAATTTTTTGCTTTTCTTCTAAACAAATCAGCATTATTTTTCCATTTATTTACTTTTCAGTTACCGCTGATTTTAAAGTATTTAGTTTTATAGAAACTCATTTTAAAAGTACAATTGTAAATAAAAATTAACGCATGGATTACTTTAGAAATAATAATTTGGTAAAGTAATCCACCTACGTCAAAAATGGTATCGTAATTTTTTGCTTTTCTTCTAAACAAATCAGCATTATTTTTCCATTTATTTACTTTTCAGTTACCGCTGATTTTAAAGTATTTAGTTTTATAGAAACTCATTTTAAAAGTACAATTATAAATAAAAATTAACGCATGGATAACTTTAGAAATAATAATTTGGTAAAGTAATCCACCTATATTACAATTCCATGTTCGAATAAAAAATTCTTTTATCTTAAACAATGCGCTATTTACTCTTGAGAGCTACACGCTGTAAAACATTAACATGGGAAATGCTATTCTTAAAAAATGAATCGTATAGAGCTTAATTTTTTTTCAATAATGATTTTCAAAGTGATGAAAGAATTTCCTTTTTTTAACGTCTCTACCGACTGATCTAATAGAAATTTTTTAATTGAACTCTTGATTTTATTACGATAGATTATTTTTTTTCTCTAATGGCTCCTCCGTCTCATAAAATAATTGTGAGCAAATTAAAAAATCTTGTATCCGTCCTTTATAAGGTTGGGTTACTGTATGTCAAATGTTTGCCAACATTATGAAGAAATTAATAAACGTGAATAAATTCAAGCACATCCCAAAGTGCTAACAATCGTTGCAGTAAATGTTATTAGCATAATCTGAAACATACATATTAAGTAAAGCACTACATACAAAAAAAATGCAATCACAAATTTCTCTTTGTCTAATTCTAATAGATCAAAATGACTATAATACTACATGGGAATTAAAAAATGAGCAATAGAAAAGAGAATGGGAAAAAATTCAACAACTCAGGGCAGAAGAAAAGACGGGAGGATTTGAAAATCCTCTCGTTTGTTTATTTTTTGTCATTAATTAGTCATAAAAATTTCTAAAATTTCCAATACATCAAGTTAAGGTTAAAACAATCTTCCTATAATTAAACAATTTAAAAATTAAGGCAAAAGTTTCAATAATCATTTTAACTCCAAAAATAAAAGAAAACTCTTCTTTTTCGAAACGCGTAGTTGTATTTTTCTGCCTATGGTGCATTAATTTTATTTAATTATCATGTAGGCCGAAACGGTTGAACCGAAATGACATAGACTGCTGAATTATTATTTTTTTAATAAAATATTATTTTAATATTACCAGTTTTGCTTTATTAAAAAAAAGAGCTCCGTAACAAAAATAAAATTATTTCTAATTCGGAAAAATGAGTCTAAATAAGACATTTTGGTAAAATTTGAAAATAATATTTGAAATTGAGCCTCACCTTTGAATTCATTACATACATTAAAAAAATACTATTATTAAGCTAGATACAATGATTTTGCTTTCTTAAACATTATCTAAGATATTTTAAATTTTTCTTGTTTTATATATTTAGACAGAAGAATATTTACTTCCTCCTCCTTATAAAACAGATTGTATGGATTATGACTTGATGTGGAGAAACAATAATAAAACTGGACCACGGTCCCAGGATGTGAGTTATTATTTTCCTTTAATCGCTTTTAAAGCAGTTTCTTTAGAGAAATATTTTTTTTAATATAATTTATGCAATATTTTATGATTTTATTTACAAAAATTTAATCATTCTTTTTGTACATTAGAAAACTGAATTTACCATATAATATATTAACATTAATCCATATCTTTCAATCAAAGTAAACTGAAATATTAAATATTCCATGCAAAAATAATATGATTAATAATAATCTTTCTTAATATAAATATCATTCTGTTTAAAATATAAACATGAATTTAATTTTTAGGCTTGCAGATTGAAATGTGTTGCTGACGTTGTCACTTCTTGCTGCAATTGTACACTTGCTTCCCACAATTATCCATATTCAAATGATTTTCCCCTTTGCTCCGAAAGTTTGTATTTTCTTACAAATATTGATTTAAAAATTCTAACATATCACACAAAAATTTGAATTATTGTTTTAAAAATGAAAATAAGCATTTTAGAAAACTGGAAATGTTTTTTTGAATTTGTATTGAATGAAATTTGTATTGAATGAAAAACATGAATTTTTGTAATAATGGAAGCCATAAATGTAAATTTAGAAAAATTTCAGAAAATTTTCAAGCTATATTTTTTATTATTTTTTATATGTTTTATCGCAAATCTAATATTTAAAATGACATTTGTGATTATTTTTCTCCAACTAGATCAATTTTATGCTTGCTTCCTCAGATGTGCACCTTTTGAAAAACTTATAGCAGGCATTCAAATTTGCTATGAAAGCTGTAAAGAAGAATGCTAGTGAGTAAAATAATTATTTATAAAAAATAAAATTTGATATATATTTTGAGAACAATTTATTGAATATTAAAAATTCTTATTCAAATTCGCATATTACTGCCATTTACTGCCATATTATTTCAATTCCCATATTACTGCATAAGTCAATGTAACAGTAGATACATAGATTGTAACGGAATGCCCTACTCTCCCTCCCTATAGAAATACTCTTATCTGTTTATACTAGTACGCTACGTACACCAACCCACGTTATTACTTCTCATTCATCATAGTTTCATTTTTAATAAAAATCAATAGTTTCTACAAAAACAAAGAAAAAGATTTTCTTAGTAAAATTCCCAATCATTGTAGGATTATATAAGAAAACTTTGTCAATATGTTTATCTTAACGAAAAGACGAATTACCTGTATTTGAAAGAAGTGTTCATTTAACGAATACATATTGTGTAACGTAATAAGAAAAATAAATAAATGAGAAATGATGCATACAAATAGTGTAACTGAATCGGAAGACTCGTTAACGAGGCTTAGAACAGTTTCACTTGATAACTGTTCTTATCTCTTTGGTTTTTATTTTATTCTTTTATTTTTAATCATTTGAATATAAATGTTAAAATTTATATCTGGTAACATCTAATCTCTCTTTTGTTACTTTAATTGATGACTCAAGAGCGAATTTATAAAATAAATATCTCAAAAAAGATTGAACAAATTTCGAAAATAAAAATTCAGTCGACAACAGATCAGCTCATATGGTATTTTGTACAAAGAACTCAGCACTCGGCCGTTCATAATTCTCGAACTATTTAGTGAATGTCTTTCTACCTCCTGTAAAATTTTATTTACCCACTCTAAATTTCCTTTTGAATCTTTTTAGTTTTTGAATATCAAAATAAAATGTAACGTAAGAAATATGACTCTTCCAGCACATTGAAATTTCAATTCTCTAGGTGAATTTCTGCGGTCGGTAGAATCAAAGATTGATTTTTTTTATTTAATCATTCTTCTGGCTTCTAGTACATTATTCTACGCATCTTCCTAATGTTAAGTTTCTAAGTCTAAGAGTTCTTTTTTCTCTTATTTTCAATTCTTCCTTTTTCTTTTCTTTTTTACTTTGCTGCGACACAAAATAAAACATGCTCTGCTTATACATGCTCTTGTGTCATTATCACATACATGTCAATGGAAAGATTTATGTCCTTTTACCAGAATTGGACTGATTGCCAATCGCAACGTAAATTCTAGTTCCCCGAACAGTCACGAGTTTTTCTAGTTTTAAGAATAGTTTTAAGAACAATCATGAGTTTTTGTTAACTTTTTACTGAGCATTTTAAGAACATTTAAGAAAATTACGTGTAAAAATTACATTATTTGAGAGCTTAACATTCTTGCAATTAACATAGTTGGAAGAAAATAATTTTTTTAAATTTTTTATTGAAACACTTTCAAATTTTTCTATAATTATGAAGAAGATGGATTCAGGGCGTCAATTTAAGTGGTGATGATGGAATATCAGGTGGATATAACAGTTGAGGTTGGAGCTTGTATATTATGGTATAGTGGATTAAGTTGAAGATAGTGACAAATTGAAGATTAATGCAGAAATCAGTGGATGATGAAAACAGAAGAAGATGGTGAATAATAGTTGAGCCGGATTAGAATTAATAAAAAAAGGCTTTTATTTAGTAGTATACTTGCAGAGCTCGAGTTACAAAATATAAAAATCATTCATAAGAATTTCAGTTGAATCAATTTTGCATAATAATATTAATAAGAACAGGCCATGGGAGACGAATCCCCCACAACCAGCCTAATCAAAAGCCAAATTAAAAAGTACATGTAATTTGTTCCGATCGGACACAGAAGCATGGGTAGGAGATCCAAAATTGGCGATTTATTAAAATATAGCATAGCCAAAACAAGGCCAACCAGCATATCAATATAGAGTTAAAATAATACCTTGGCGATCACGAGTCGCCAACAAATTTATGTGAATTATTACAACCATGCAACCGAAACATTTAGCCGTTGGAAAATTAGAATAAAAAGTTATAAATAGATTTTTGTTTTCGATTAAAGGCGACAGTGAATATATATGTCTGCATAATAATGAAATAAAAAGAAAGTATCCGTTACATTGATCTAGAAGATAAGAAATAAATATTTTATGTTTGTTTTAAAAAGATTAAGTTTGTGATTTATTTTAAATATAATTCTATTAATAAAAAATCAGCTTAAGTAATGAAAGATATTTTAAAAGATAGAAAATAAATATGTGTATGCCAATTATGGCATCACAATAATAATTATTCCAAAGAAATTTTTAAACACAATAAATACAATTCAACAAGAATGATAAAAAAAATAACAAGAATGATAAAAAAAATAACCATGAGTTACATGCAATACGAAACTAAAGGAAAACAGAGAAATTTTCTGCTCTTTAAAGAATGAAATCAAAAACAGTTTAAAGGAAATAATAGATTTGACTGACACTGATGGAGACACTAATTGTATTATTGCAAATAATATACAAAATGTATTACTTGATCCTTTTTTGTAAGACACTTTTCTGTTTCTATCGAAATGCTTTAAATGTTTCTCACTTTGTTAACTGTGATGTTCCTCAAAAAACATGATTAAAAGATGATAAAAAATATTAAACAATATTAATAATAGAATTGAATCGCAAGAAATGAATAATTAACGTATTTCAGGCTTTATAAGAATATGAGAAAGCTCGATTAAATTTGCCTTAGCAATTTTGTGATGATCAAGGTAAAATTAGCTATAAAATATGATTTTACATTTGAATAGTATATAAAATAGTATTTGAAGCAAATTTCGGTAATTTTATCATGACACCTTAATACATGGCATAAAAAGCAATTATAATTGACTAAATGTGCTTTTCGGTATTGAAAATGTTTATACTAAGAACTATAATTTTGAAATTCAGAGCTTTTATTAAATCATTACCATATATGCAAAAAAATTACAAAATTAATGGCTTTAATGCTATACATATTTGGTTTTATTAACTGTAATTACGGTTTTATCTACGAGAAATGTCCTAAACATGCATTATGGTAATTACTAAAGTTCCTTTTTTGTGTATGTTCTAAATATTTATTTGTTTTTCAGTTACATAAAATATACAGTTGAAGTTCAAGATCGTTACATTGATTTACAGGTATACAGTTTCCGTTTTCTTATTTTATTTAAAATTTTAGTAAATGATTACTTGTTTCTAAAAATAAGAAGCATTACTTAATTAATGTGATTTATAATTAGAATCTTTTGCGAGAACTTTGATTAGTTATCTATTTATTGCACGCAAATACACCACATGACATTTAGTCTCCTATATGAAAACACTTGTTTATCGACACCTTTACAATTTTATTGCAGAAAAACATGCTCACATAATAAACATTTAAGATAATTTTCAATATACCACTTCATCTCTCATGTACACACTGAGTCGAGTGTCAAAACAATTTGCCTAAATTTTTTCTCAGTGTAAGTCTATAAAAATGTAACAATCTACAAAAAAAATTTTGAACAACATTAGACATTGCAGAATAATTTTCCTTGAAACAGTAATGCAAAAGAACAAATTGTAGTCATAAATGGGTTTTCAGAAATGAGTTTGATTTATCCTACAAATAGACATTTAAATTAAAAATTGCTTTATTCAATATTTTTCTGTTTTTAGTAAATATTTTAGTAAGCCTAGAAACTTATTTCTCATTTCATTTTGAGGAACAAGAGTCAGTCTGTCGAAAGTCAATGAAGGAATAAATGTCAAATAAAAATTTTAAGACTCGAATGGAAATTAAATTTGATATCTGATGTAAAAATTCTATTTTTGTTTGTAAGTATTTCAGTAAAAGTTTAGTAAAAGTAACTGTATTTTTTCCTTATTCTTAGAAAAACACAGTGATCTCTCTCAAATATATATATNGGTTATTCCAGGAAAGATAAACGTGATCATTCTATCATAAGAAGTCTACGTCAGCTGATTAATATTTTTAATGTTATCTAAAACTACATGTTTATTTTGTTTCTTTATAGTTATGCTTTTAAAACGGATTTTTATAAAACTAAATAATTTCAAATGAACGGAAATTTAAATATAAAAAAAAAGTTTTAAACTGAAACGCAACATCAAGGAAAAAATAGTACTAATTCATTGAAGAGAAAGTAATAAAATACCAATATTATTATTGACGTCAATGATATTTAATTTTGGTAATCGTTACAAAGTGAAGTACAAAAAAGCCACGTACTAAAAAGGAAAACTAATAGAGAAATGGAACTAATTCGTTTAAGAAGACATTAAAGATCAGCAATCTAATTTTGTTGTCAATGATGCTTAATTATTTTTGTTGGAAGGTATTAATAAAAACAAAGTATTAACTTATGTATTAAAAAGCTAAGTTGATGGAGAAATGTATTTATTTGTTACAGGATACCCTAAACACTCGCCGAAATATATTGACACCATACTGCTACTGTCAGCTTGATAATTGGTATAGTTTTATTAAGTAACAAATAGACTCTTATGTAGGTACAACGTACTTAAGAGTAAATTTGGGACCGATTAAAACTGCATCAATATTATGCATTTTTATGATAGATTTCTCACGGTTATTCAAAGATATATATAGCGGAGAAAGTAGCTTGGCTGCATTAAATTTTAAATATCACAAGTTGCTTTGAGTAACAGCATTATACCTGTGTGTATATTGGATATATATATATATAATAAATAAATAAATACAAGAAAACACTAAGAAAGTTAAGAAAAACAATAAGTATCATTTATTGCGCTTAAGCTGCAAGTAAACAGCACTCATTAGATAAGTTCAAAATGAAGAATAAAACAAAGAAAAATTATAGACATATGAAAAAAGGGGGGTGGGAAATAATAAGTAAAAAAAATAACAAACAACAATTTATTTAACAAAAAAAAAAAAAAATTTAAGTGTTAATTAAAAAAACCGGAAAAAAAAGATATAATCTTTTCTTCAGCCCACACGATTATATCCGCAAAACAGAGTGCTTTCTGATATTGTATCAATAAAGCCAAAGCAAAATATATTAATACAATAGTAATATATATATATATACATATATAAATCTTTATTTTTATATAATTTTAAAATGCATTTTTTTGTGGAATCAATGTTGGAAAAAAATGTTTCTTACTGTTTCAACTTTCAACTGTCATGGAAATAGCATTGTTGCCAAAACAAATAAAAAATATGATATACCGTCGATTTTATAGTTATAATTACCATAAAATCACTGAATCATTCCAATTAAAAAAATATTACTGCTAAAATTATCTTACAATATTTTACCGTAAAAATGGATTTTACGTTAAAATGAATTTTATGGATGATGCACTTAAAGTGCCAGTTCTTAATACCGTAATTTGATCGTGAATATTTTGCCCAACATAGAAACATGTCCTTAAAATTGTTTCTGATTAATTTTACACTTCTGTCAAACTATATTTTTATTATTATTTTAAATTTAATAATTTGTTTTATCTATATCCATTAAGACATTTTTTTTATTAAATAAGTTGTAATCGTTCCTACTAATTTTCATTTCAGAAAGAGAATAGTACTATCGATACAGATATGTAAGTATGAAAATTATTTTGTGAATTTGAATGCATTATTAGTTTTTAGTTTTTATTATTTTATTGTGTTGAGTGTGTATCCAATGAGTTCAAACGAGCAATGGATAGAACAATTATCAATAAAGTTTTAAAAATGGATAAATAATAATAAGTGAAATATTTAAAAGAAAGTTAAAAGTAATACAGAACTTTATATTATACAGAAAAGTAAAGATGGTATCAAAATAGAAATGTAAATGTAATTTTTTATAAAAGTACAAAAATATTCTAATAACTAGGTAGTGTAAACTAGTGTACTGTAAAAAGATTAGATTATATGCTGCTTAAGTTAACTTGCATTCAAAAATGTAACTTCATTTCTCTGTTTTTTTCGCATCGTTGTGGTGAAAAGATTTTATAATTATAAATACATGCATGTTTGATTTGAGTTTTAAAACATTCACACATTTTTAGCATACGAAAGAGTGTTGAATACGGGTAATTTAAATACGTATGCAAAAAGTTACATTCAAAATAACTAATGTGCAGTAAGGCTTATAAGAAATATAAAATATGACTCGAATTTGTCTTAAAACATCTCTGGTATAAACTAGTTAGTACCTGATTTTTTTTTCTTTTTCGTATAACTTTTTTTCGCATTTGGGACTAATATTATTTTTTAAGCAATTTCTATACATTTAAAGGGCATGCAATATGTTATTCTTGCTTTCTTAACTTATGCACATATTATTCTTTAAGAAAGAAGATATACGTTGACGTGAGCATTGAAGATACAGAAGTTATGAGTTTCTCTTACAAACCTCAATATCAGGTAAGTATTTAATTTCAGAGGACCTATGAAAAAAAAAACCTTACTCCCATCCACAAATAATAATAAATTTTCATTACTTTCCTTAATAAGTAATATTTTACGTCTGAAGTTTAGAAAATCTGAAGTACAGTTTGGTTTCAGTTCTTTAAAAAATGTTTTTTCTTAATAGTTATGGTTGATTACCTATTTGTTAATAATTTAATATCTACTCAATAGTAGTTGATTACAAATTTGGTCTGTAAATTAATTCTATACTAAATAATACTGTAATTAAATTCTATACTAAATTAAAAAATTAAACATTTTTGAATAAGGATTACTTGAAGGTATTGGTATTATTTGATGAGAAAATCTATGAAAATCTAAGAAGCTCTGATTTTATTTTCAGTCAATCTAAAAAATACATTGCGATCAGCACAGTTAATTCCCTCAATTTTTGGAGGGGATAGTTTTGCATTTTAAGCCAGAAACCGCGAAAATTTTAAATGGCAAAATCTCTGTGATCTAATTACCTCAATTTAATAATTACCTATAATTACCACAATTCAATTCAACAGAGCCACATTTAGCTCAAATTGGAAAGCTGTAAACCTTGTCAGACTTTATCAGAAAACCCAGTCAAAATCAGATCTTTTTAGAATTTGAAAAAATGTTAGTAAAATCTATTAAAATCTGTCTCCTTTATCATAAAAAATAGTGACTTTTTTGTATCAATGAAAGCTAAAATAATTATGCTATAATCGCTAACTTTTTACATGCATTAATTTTTACTATCACTCAATAATTTATACTGTAAGCTTAAAAAACAATGTTCGATAACCAATTAGGATTTTTCACTGATCAGATATAATTGTTTTGTGTGAAAAAAAATTATATTTGATTTCATTACATTTGAATACTTTTATTTATAGCCAATTGTATTTTATTTATAGAATTAAAATATAACGAATTGTATAAAATAATAAAATTAATTCTTTTATGATTTGTTTAAAAAAATATTTTTATATACCGTAAGCGTTGTGGAGAATATAATAAATTTAAGAAGTAACAATGACATTTTTAATCCTAAAATGTAACACTTATTTAAGGTCAAATCATTATTTAATACTATAATAAAATTATTTTTATCGGTTGCAGGAAGTTGAAGCATTCAGCTACATAGGGGGTTTTATTGGAATATGGCTTGGAGTCTCATTGGTTCAAGTTACAGATTTCTTAGAAAATACATTTCTATTAATCCGGAGATGTTTCAGGAAACGAAACCCTAAGAAAGCAGAAGCATTCCAAGAATCGTAGATGTCAAAATGTTTCAAAGTAATTTTGACTGAAATGTTACTTTATATGCTTATATTTTCCATTATTGTCTTTTATAATATTAAGTTATTTAATCTTGAGTGCTTAGGTAGTTTTAACCCCAATTTTATATTTTGCGTTTGATTATTTGTTTATAATGTTTCCCCATGCAATTATCTATGCATTATCTTATACCAAGCATTTTAAGTATTGTTAAATGTGTATTATTTATTTATTTTTTTTACTTTTTGTCATGGAGAAACATTCAAAGAATCTCAGGAAAAAAATATTTCTCGACAAAATAAATTTTGAAAAAATCATTTTGCCTCAATAGCACTTTATATTTAAAGCATTCTGCTTTCAGAATATTATTTAACATTATTAAAAATTAATATTTAGGTCTTTTATTATCTAGATGCAAGGGATTTATCAATATTATTTATATATTTTCAAATGCAATTATGCATCATTATAAAAATCGAATTTATCATTATTATTTTTATCTTAGTTGTTTCAATATAATTATTAATTATTCATATTGTTTCATTTAAGATATTTTTTAAACTCTATATCCAATTTTGGCTATTACATTATATTGTTTAGAATGCTGTTTTTGTATAGAACATTTTCTGTCTCATCCGTATTGTTGTATTTTTATCATTACATTAAGTAACATTCTAAATCTCAGGGCAGATCTAAATTGGTCTAAAATCAGGGCAAAATCTGAAAATCTCAGGGCAGAAAATTTTTTTAAATGCACAATATCGCTTTGTCCACTATCATTCTTTTCATCGTCATCTTCATAATTCTGCTTTTTATTCTCATATTGCATAGTGTAAAAATACTATTTTACTTATCATTATTATCCATATGCATTTAAATAAATAATTTAATATCTATATTGACTCTTTATTCAATTCTGAGAAAGTGCTGATAGGAAATCATAACATTGCTTTGAATTAAATGATTATTAAATGTTTTTTTTTGTTTATTTATATCATTAAGTCATTTGACTTTAAATCCGAATTTGTAAATAATGCTTTATTATTTGTTTTTATTATTGATTGTGTATGCATAAATTTGTAGTAATTATCTGTAGCGTGTTTTTATCAATAATATAAGGTAATTATAAGAAACTCAGGAATGAAACAATTCTTAAAAAAACTTGTGAGATAGTTTTGTCTTTTATGATATTTATATCACTTAGATTATCCTTACATTATTTAGCTAATTTTTATGATTCGTATTATTATGGTGTTGAAATTTTAGTATTGTAATTTTTATTCTGAATTAGATTGTAGTTCTAAATCGGTACATAACATTAGATTATTTATTTATGTAGCTGCTTTCATATAGAAAATTAAATTTATTATCTATTGTGCTATGTAACCTTTTTAAAAAGTCAGCACCGTAAATTCTTTTGAAGAAAACAAATTATTGAAATAGCTTCGCTTTATATAATAGCTTTTGCTCAATCATTTTACTTAGAGCAATGTTTTGTATAGCTACACTATAAAAGATAACTGCAAATTCTACAGAAAAAACTGTTTAAATATAAACAGAAGCAGAGTGTTCACCTATCAATGAGATAACTCGGGTTCGAATCCCGGCGTTAACGGGTAGCGTGGACTCAACTCTCGGTTCTCACGGACCACAATGCTAATAGTTATTTCATACATTTTGTTTGTTAAATATAACAAATTTTTGTTAAAATAGCAGAATTTGTTTGTTAAAATAACAGAATTTGTTTGTTAGAATAACAGAATTTGTCTGTTAAAATAACAGAATTTGTTTGTTAAAATAACAGAATTAGTTAGTTAAAATAACAGACTTTGTTTGTTAAAATAACGATACCTTTCTACTTAAAAAACAGGCTTCCATTTTTAAATAACAGTATTTTTCCATGAAACAAATGGTTTTATAGTGGCACACCAGCTGTCAGTTTTTTTCGGTAAATTTAACAGATTTTTTTTTACAGTGTACTTACTATTTTCTGTTTAGTGATGGCATTTCATCATAATACTGTTTAACTAGATTTATGATTTTGTATGCACTATGTAATTTGTTATTAATGCTATTTTATCAATAATGCTATTTTATCTTTCTATCAATTTATCTTTAATGATACTGCATTTTAGCAATTAAAATTCCATAATTCTGCGATGATATGAGTTTTTCGATGCATTATTTTAAATTGGTGTCTTTTCAATCTTTAATCTTAATATATATTAATAAAATGAAGACTCTCTGTGTGTATCTCTTCTAATTCAAAATAATATGTGCTGCTATCATCCGCAAGTTAGGGAAGCAGCTGAAAGTGGTAGTTCTAGTTTCCGTATTATAAATTGTTTAAATATTTCAATTAGTTCACCTGGGAGATCACATCGGATATACAGCTAAATTGTTATGCGCAAGCCTCCTTAGCTTCTTATTTAAGAGCAATTAAATCAACTGTTAAAGTAATTTTTATTTATCTAGTTGGGGAAATTGTGTCAGATGTAATATACAGCGCACATTATATGATATTATGCAGTTTTATTATTTTTGAGAAAAAACTAATTATTTTAATGTTTTGTTGGAACTTTTTTTTCACCCTGCCACCATAATTATTACATTGAATTGGATTTGAGAAAAATGAGTTCCATGGCTCCCTTGCTGGTCTACTTTTAAATAATGTAGCTATTTCAAAAACTATCATTTTATGTATTGATATAATATTTACTGTCGTTGTTGTATTTACTGAAAATAAAGATTTAGCACCCACATCTAAATTTATTTTGTAAACAAAATAATTTTTTTAAAGTTGTAAATTAGTAAAATATAGCTCTACTCATCCTAATTCAAGCAACCATTTCTCACACAAAAGTGCTCCTAGAAGATTAAATTCAAGTGGGTTCGAATCCAGTTTCAACCCTTAAATTTAAATTTCGCTATTTTCTTTCTATTCCAGCTGTATGCAAATGGTTTTATACATTCGAAAACTTTGCTCAGACATGTAAATTAGCTATACATTTTCTTGCGTTTCTGGAATGTTTCTAATTACGCAATGCTACTTACATGAGTCTGGGAAATTATTCAGCTGGGTTATTGTGCACGAAACCAACTTGCGCCTGCATCGTTGTGTGTGAAGCTCACTCAAAATTAATTCATATAACAATTTATTATATTTTTTTAAAAAATGTCACACATTTAAAAAAATCGTAAATTTACAAGAACTTTGATTATGTTGTCAAGAACTTTAATAAAGTTGTCAAGAACTTTAATAAAGTTGTTTAATTCAGGAAAAAAATATGAAAAATATTAAGAAAGAAATCACTGGAGAAAAAAACATTTAAATTAATCAATATTAATCAATCAGTTAATTTCAATCAATCAGTTAACATTTCAATCAATCAGTTAAACATTTAAATTAAAGTGCTACTAACTTTTACAAAGAAATGTTAATAAAAATATTTCTTTTTTCAAATTTATAAATTTATTAATTTTTATAATCAGTGATTGGTTTATTGATAATTTATTCATTGATTGGAAAGAAAAGAGTTTGTAGCAACCATAATTTTAGACATTAGTATTTTAAAATAATATAATTTAATTAAAAAAAGAATACAATTTATTTATTTAAATAAATAATTCCATTAAATATTTCTCAATTTTTATTCTCTTAGTGAAATCTTCATTTTTTTCCTTTTCTTTCATAAAGGACTTGATTTGGCATGATAATTCCCTCATTTAAATGACGAAATTAAAATGTTTAAAATGTAAGAGAAGTTGATATCAATAGATGGCGTTACTACGCAAACTAAAACCTTTTCTTGTAAAGTTGTGAAGAATCTAATTTAGAAATAAGTTTCTCTAAATTTTTTATTATAATTTTTGAAAGTTTTATCAAGTAGCATTATTAAAGCAAAGATCTTATTAATTGATTTCGTACTATACTGTGTGTTAAGACTCATGTATATATTAAGTGAACTATAACGAAAATTAATCATTTAGAAAATTTCAGTATTTCAACAAAACCTTTATCTGAACTAATTAAGCAAATCCTAGAATTACATGTCATGTTAGAGAATAAATTGAAACACACAAGGATGTACGATTCAAAAAAAAATATTCTAAATATCCTTTTATACAATGATTAAATTTCCTTGTTTCACGGTCTCAGTGAGATTAATTTGAGATACTAGTATAATCCCTTTTCCCCTTCTTAAGTTAATTATTATTTAAATTGTCTTTTGAAAGAATGATACATCTTCAGCACAATTCTAACATTTACCGATCCTATTGGAATATTTAAATTTAAGAAAAAAGGAAATATATAAGATTATACGTGTGATAAAGAAAATAATATTTTAAATAACTTTTCCCCCAGTGAATCAGTTTTCTTACAATTTCAGATGTATAAAATGTTACAATATTTTTCTAGGTTTTCTTTCATTCTACGTTTAATTCTTTTTGGTCTTTGTTTCGGTCTTATTCATTGTTTTCATTGGTTCATTGTTCATTGGTTCATTTGTTTTAATTATTTTTATTGAAAACTTTAGTGCTAACTTCAAGTATTCTTGTGTACTGTCAATATTTAATTATATTGTTTTCCCAAAAATAAAACTAACTAAAAATTCTTAACTGCTTAAATTAGATGTGCATATTTTTTATGCTGTTGTTATTTGTTACGATTACTCATTCAAAATAAAGATACGACTTGTTCTATTTATACTGAATAAGAATATCCAGAAATCTTGTTCTATTCTTTTAATAAAATAACTCTTATTTGAAAAAATGTTACCTAAGCCTTATTTATTCAATTTTTAAAAAATCTCATGCATTATGTGCATAGTTTGCTTTTCACGTTACGCTATCGTTTTGTACTGCAGCGAATCTTTTAAAAATATAAGCATCAGTTGTTAATTAAAAAACGTCCAGTGGCTGAGTGTTAGCGCTTCGCATCCCTTGCCACCGGTCCTGGGTTCAATCCTCGGGCCGGGCAAGGTTGACTCTGCCTTTCATCCTTTCAGTGGGTCGATAAATGAGTACCAATCATGCTTGGGAACTAAACACTGGGGGTTCCGCGTTTGGTTGACCACCAGACCGGAACATCTGCTCCAGCACCCCAGAGCCCAAAGTCAGGAAAATTTAGATGGGAACAGTAGGCCTTGGCCCTCTATGAGCTGTCGCGCCGTGTTGAGTTTAGTTTAGTTTTTGTTAATTAAAAAGCTATATACAATCATCTAAGGAATTCGTCCGATAATTTTTAAAGAAAAAAATTCTTATATGAATTATTTTTATTTAAATTGTAATTAATCTTATCAAAAATATATTTGAACACTTGGGTATTATGCACAGTGCACAAAAAAAGAAAAGAAAGGAAAGGAGCACCTAAGTAATTTTTGATCTAGAGATAAGATCATCATGTACTAGAAATGAATCTTATTGGTTTGAAGGGGTGATCTCAAATATGCTGATTAGCAAAAGCAGACGATATTTAAGTTACGAAATCAGACACAATAGTGTACTTTCTGAAAATAAACAAATATTTTCTTCAACGGATTTCTGATTCTCAAAATATAGGGGTTAGCAGCAATCTGGGAAGTATGGTCATGGTTGGTATGGATTTGGTTTCCTTACCAGCAATTTGCGATACATCAGGAGAGCGATACGAAGTTTTGACCCTTTAATGTTAAATTTACATTTTGCTCATTTAGTCATATCGTGAGATTTTTTTACATGCAATTAAAATACGTAATCCAAATATAATTCCATGTAAAAACAAAATTTTAATAATTAGGGGAGAGTCGGGTAGCCCCGCTCACTTAAGGAGTATTGCTTATATTTCTGTATAATATTGAGTAATAATCAATATTTTTGTATGTTTCTATTGTTTGACCATATAATTAAATAATGCAAAGAGAATAAACCAAAAAAAGAATAGTTTAACTTAAAAAAATAGAAATTTAAAAAAACATGTTTTTCAGCTCTTTTCAAAATGCGTCGGGTAGCCCCGCCCAGTTACAAAACTTATGTTTTTTGGCTGTTTTTTCAGGAGTAAATGAAAGTGACCAATGTATTGACAATAGATAAACCTCATTTATCATTTTTATCAAAAAATTATTTTATTTATTACATATTTATGTACTTTTAGTGAATTCTATCATTTAATAACAACAATATTTGTTGTTAAAAATGCATATAACATTCAAATTTGAAGCAATAAAATAATAATCTTTGTAACCGTACATTTATCAACGAAATAAAATTGGGCGGTGATACCTGACATTCATGTGAGCGGGGCTACCCGAAATTCAATTTTTTTGTAAATTTGTAATTACTCGAACAATTTTTCAAAAATAAACTTTTTTCTTTACATACTTTAATGCTGTATGTATAGAAAAAATTATTTTATAAGTATTAAAATGAAGTTTAAACGAAACATTCAACCAATTTTTCTTAACTTCATGAATACTGTATTCAACATATTTTCAAAACTATTGTTTACCATGTTAACAGCTGCATAAATACTTGAAACTTTGAAAATAATCTCTTTTTAATATAAAAGTTAATGTACGATGGCACATTGACTTGAGAAAATATTCTATACATATGAAATTGACGTTGGGCGGGGGTACCCGCTGGGCGGAGCTACCCGACTCTCCCCTACTCATTATTTTTTATGAAGTTCTTAAATAATAGTCGAAAGAGCTTTGAATTGTAAGGTGCACAATTGTTTAAATTATTTTAAAGAATATCATTTAAAAAATTCAAAATACAACACTTGTACGAAATTGGACAAATATTTCCTGAGAAATCATATTTTAAATAAGCGATTTCTTTTAAAATTTAATTTCTCCTGACTATTCAACTAATTTCATTAAAAATTTGCATTTTGCTTTATAAAATTACGTTCCTTAAAATGAGGCGAAAGTTTATTTACCTTACAATTTGAATGCTTTTCATCCAATATTAAAAAAATAATTTTAAAAAAAAGCAATAATAGATAATGAAACAATAATAGATAAAAATTATTTTAACAATTAATTATCCATGTCTAAACGTATTTTACAGTTGCGAGCAAAAAATTTTCGCTTCGCTCTAAAAATTATCTAGATATGTTGAGATGCGGTAAAAAATAAAATGATTATTAAAGGGTCCAAACTTTGGTTCACTCTCCAGAC